CCTGCAGAAGGGCCCCACCCCCAGCGCCGTGCAGCCTATAGAGTGGGAAGGGTCTCGTGCCCAGCACCGCAGGCCCTCCGTAGGAGCCCAACTCAGCCCACCCACCTGCAACAGGAAGCCACAATCGGCCAACCAGTGGCTCCAAAACCATAAGCAGATCTCCTGGGCATAGCGTCAGGAGAACCACATCATTACCCTTTCCGGCACAACAGAAATAAGCCTGGGAAACTTCAAGCAGATGCCTAAGAGCTGTTCCAGGATGCAACACAGACCACAGTACATACTCAGTCGGGCCTGACACAGAGAGGACTGGAGAACAGTCCTGTGTCCCCCACTCCAATCCCTACTGATGCAGGAAACCTACCAAGCCAGCACGGGGCTCCATAATCAGAAACAAATCTCTGGGGCAAAACATTGAGAGCCACTGCCTCTACCCCTTCCAGCACGACAGAGAAAAGTCTAGGAAACACCTAGCAGTTGCCTGACACCTGACTCAGGGTGCAACACAAGACAGTACACGAATAGCTGGCCCAGACATAGAGAGGTGAGGCTGACGTAGTGTGGATCCCAAGACACCCGGGCAAGCTGACCTTGGACAGTGCAGCTAGACAAGTACAGCTAGGATAGGCGTTCCTGTGAACCCCAGGAAGAAGCAATGGGGAAGAAGAGCAATTTAAAGAAAAGAAAAGCACTGTTCACAACAGCAAAAAGATGGAAACAACCTAGTTGCCCATGAACAGACGAATGGATCAACAAATGATGGTACATACACACAATGGAATACTATGCAATGATAAAGAAAAATGATGAATCTGCAAAACATCACACAACATGGATGAATCTGGAAGGCATTAAGCTGAGTGACATTATCAGTCGCAAAAGGACAAATATTGCATGAGACCACGATTATAAGAACTCAAGAAAAGGTTTAAACACAGAAAAAAACATTCTTTGATGGTTACGAGGGTGAGGAAGGAGGGAGAGGGGAATTCACTAACTAGACAGTAGACAAGAATTATCTTAGGTGAAGAGAAGGACAACACACAATACAGGGGAAGTCAGCACAACTGGACTAAACCCCAAAGTTAAGAAGTTTCCTGAATACAACCAAACACTTCGAGGGACAGAGTAGCAGGGGTGGGGGTCTGGGGGCCATGGTTTCAGGGGACATCTAGGTCAACTGGCATAACGAAGTTTATTAAGAAAATGTTCTGCATCCCACTTTGGTGAGTGGTGTTTGAGGTCTTAAAAGCTTGCGAGCAGCCATCTAAGATGCATCAACTGGTCCCAACTCACCTAGATCAAAGGAGAATGAGTAACACCAAAGACACAAGGAAAATATTAGCCCAAGAGACAAAAGGGCCACATAAACCGGAGACTCTGTCAGCCTGGGACCAGAAGAACTAGACAGTGCCCGGCTACCACCAATGACCACCCTGACAGGGAATACAACAGAGAGTCCCTGACAGAGCAGGAGAAAAGTGTGGTGCGGAACTCAAACACTGGTAAAAAGACTATACTTAATGGTTTGACTGAGACAGGAGGGACGCTGGAAGACATGGCCCCCGGATTCTCTGTTAGCCCAAAACTAAAACCATTCCTGAGGCCAACTCTTCGGACAAAGATTAGACTGGACTATGAGACACAAAATGATACTTGTGAAGAGTCTGCTTCTTAGCTCAGGTAGATACATGAGGCTAAATTGGCAGCTCCTGTCCGGAGGCAAGATGAGAAGGCAGGGAGGGTCAGGAGCTGGTTGAATGGACGCGGGAAATCCGGGGTGGAAAGGAGGAGCGTGCTCTAACTGCATAGGGAGAGCAACTAGGGTCACATAACAATGTATGTATAAATTTTTACACAAGAGACTGACTGGAATTGTAAACTTTCATTTAAAGCACAACAATTAAAAAAAAAAAAAGGCTAATGCCCTGAGATATTTTTCAAACCCTGAACCAAAATTATACCCAAGGCTATCTTTTAGCCAAATAGATAAGCTCACAAAATAAAGAATATCACCGTGAGTACTGTGCTCCTTTAAAAAATCATCTATATGAGTCCAATGGTCCACAATTACTTTAAAAGAAAAATGAGAAGTTAAGGGGACACGGAAAATAGATTACTGAAAACAGAACAACCAGAACGGAAATAAAGAGAATGTTCACACATCGTGAAGAACGTAACCAATGTCACCGAACAATCTGAGTAGAAATTGTTGAATGAAAACCTAATTTGCTGTGTAAACTTTAACCAAAAACACAATAAAATATTGTTAAAAAACAAAAAGAAAAATAGAAATACTGGAGCTTAACAGTAAAATAACAGAAATGAACAACATCATGGAAAGGCTCAGAAGTAAAATCAAAATGACAGATGAGAGGACCAGCAAACTCGAAGACAGGGTCTTTCGGATTACTTAATCTGAGGAACAAACAGAAAAATAATGAAGAAAAGCAAAGCCTAAGAGATGTGTGGGACACCATCAGGAGGAATAACTTATACGTTACGGGAGTGTCAGAAAAAGAAGAGGGAGAGAACGGGCTAAAAATAATTTTTGAAGAAATAATAGCAGAAAACTTCCCAGACAGGTCTTAAAAGCTTAAGAGCAGCCATCTAAGATAAAATTATTAGTCTCTATTTGTCTGGAACAAAAGAGAAAGAAGGAAACCCAAGAATCAGAGAAGGGACCGGAGTACAGCACTAACTATCTCCATGACCCACTGTCTCCTCTACCCTGAGACCAGACTAGATGGTGCCTGGCTACCACTACCGAACGTTCTGATCAGAGACACAATAGGTGGATCCTGATAGAAAGGGAAAAAATGTGGAATGGAACTTCAAATTCTTAAAGAATCCAGACTTAATGGACCTACTGAGGCTGGAGGAGTCCCCAAGACTACTGCCCTGAGTTACTCTTCAAACCCTGAATTGAAAATATCCCCTGAAGTCACCCATAAACTACAGAACAGTTTAACTCAAAAAGTAAATATTGCCACCCTTGAATATTGCATTCTTTTTTAAAAAATGATCTGTATAAGACCAAGAAGGAGCTGGTGGTGCAACAGTTAAGCACGTGGCTGCCAACTGAAAGGTCAGCAGTTCGAACCTACCAGCCACTCCACCAGAGAGAGATGTGGCAGTCTGCTCCTGTAAACATTTACAGGCTTAGAAACCCTATAGGGCCATTCTACTGTCATATAGGGTCGCTATGAGTCGGAATTGACTCAGTGGCAACGGGTATATAAGATCAAATGTACAATAGCTATTTTAAAGCATAGATGAGAAGGCTGGGGGGCAGGGGCAGGGAGTTTAAGTAAACAGGTATTAAACAAGCAGAACAAAAATAACAAGAATGTTGACACAATGTGAAAAACGTAACCAATGTCACTGATCATTATGTCTAGAAATTGTTGAACGAGAGCAGGTCTTGCTGTGTACATTTTCACCAAAAATAAAATAAAATACTAATTAAAAAAAGAAAAGAAAACTTGCCAAACATCACGAAAGACAGGAAATTTCACGTTCAAGGAGCTCAGTGAATTCCACATAGGATAAATCCTAAAAGAGACTCACCTAGGCATATCACAATCAAACTCTTGAGAACCAAGGAGAAAGAAAATTTTGAGAGCAGCATGAGAAAAGCAAAGTCTCACATACAAGGGTTTTCCAGTAAGACTAAGTGTGGCATCGCTTCAGAAACCATAGACTTTCAGCGCTTTCAGCGTGTCATCCTACAGTAACAATGTATTGTGGGGTTTATAACACACAGAATTAAAAGGTATGACAATTGACGTAAGGTTCTTACACTGTACAGGAAGTGGAATAATATTAAAGATTAAATTCAATTTTTTTTTTTTTTTTTTTTTACAAATATGTCATATTGGCTAAAGCCATGTTGATTATTTTGTGGTTAAAAAGATTACAATCCAAGAAGACTATAGAGAGAGATTTTCTAACGCGCCTACAGCATGCTTGTCATTACACGATACGTGTTTTATTTGCTTTTCTGATTTATAATGGGGTGTAAAGCTGACTGCTAGCTGCTACTGCTGTACATTTAAGTCTCAATGATGCAACTTGACAGCTGTTCACACAAACTCTGAAGAGCTGGACAGACCCATGCTTGTATCACAACAATGTCACCGTTTGCCAGCCATGAGACTTTGGGCCAGTTACTAACTCAAAATAAACATGACCACAGGACCTCTCTCACCCGGTCATTGAGTAATGACATAATGCTTCTTAAGCACTTTACCAGAATACCTGGCGGAAAGTAAACATTAATAAACGTTGCCTATTCTTGTTATCAAGATTGTACTGAAGGATACAACAAGTATTAAAAACATTTCAAAGGGTTTTTTTTAATCAGGAGGTATATGATATTCTAGTTTCAAAAAACGTTTAAAAAAAGGTACCACCGTTGAATGAAATTAGTTCTCATTCATCGTTAACAGTCAAGGCAATCCATTTTGCAGATTAAAAACAGGCTAAAATTCTCATGTGCCTAAAATGTTCAAGGTCACAGGCAGCGTCTCAGGTGCCCCTAAGTACGAAAGAAAGCATTTATTTGCTGTGTTAAAAGTACTGGTGGACGCTCCTCCACCTTCCTTCCCGCAAAGCAGCTCTTTTAAAAGGCAGGGTTGTGTTTAGAAGGAAAATCTTACGCAGAATTCAAATTCCTTTTAAAGTTGCTATTAATCTGAATATTTGGGGGATTTAGTGCTTTAATATTTTTTTTAAATATTAATTGCATTCAGTTATGAAATGAGGACTTCATGTGCTCGAAAGGGATCGATCCCCAATAAGTCCATTGTCCCTCAGAGAAACCGCGTCGAGCATTTCCTTATGGAATCGTGGTAAGTATTTCTAAGGACATGATTCTATCCAGCCTGTGTGTAATTTTCTTGCCAGAGTAGGAACAGTTCCCATGGTCTGCTGCTTGATGGCGAAGCAGCGGTGACGTCCACAGAGGCAACCTCAGTGCCTGCTCACCTAAAACTCACCTTGGTCTCTCTGGAGAGGGGTTGGGGCTTCGAGGAGGAGGTGTGCGGGGCACAGCTGGCTTCGGCGCGATGCTGGCTGCAGGGAGGAGGCCATGGACGATATGCTTCTACAAAAAAGGATACCCGGTGGAAGTCATGGCGGGGAGAGGGTCACCCAGGTCCTGCCACACGGCCTCCCTCTAATCTGTTTACCTCTCTCAGCAGCACCTACCATCCTGCCCCAAGCAATGTGTTACTTTATATCTCCACCACCTGGGAGATCTTCCAGGACAGGAACAACTTTTACTCACCTTTGAATTCCCCGGGGGCTGGCACCTAGTAGGTCTTTCAGAAAGGCCTGGTGAATTTTTTTGTTTTTTGAAAGAGTGAATCCTCATAGTATGCTAAGCACTTCTCACTTGCACCACTATACTCATTTTCTAACTACCATCCCCAGCTGCCACTTCCTAAAACACACAATGATCCTATCTACTCAGCACTGCAGACCGTTCTCAGGATGACAGGTCGAGCTTGGCAGAGAAGGCCACTGTCCTGGATTTAATTATGTCCCTCCAAAAATGTGTGCATCAGTTGGGCTGGGCCATGATTCCCTGTTTTGTGTGATTTTCCTGTATGTTGTAAATCCTGCCTCTATGATGTTAATGATGGAGAATGGGCGGTAATTGGGTTACCGAGGCAGGGCTCAATCTACAAGATTGGATTGTGTCCTGAGGCAATCTCTTGAGATATAAAAGACAGAAGTGAGCAGAGAGACAGCGGGACCTCACAGGAGCTGTGCGTGTTCTTTGGACCCGGGGTCCCTGAGCGGAGAAGCTCCTAGTCTGAGGGAACATTGATGAAAAGGCCAACAGAGAGAGAAAGCTGATGCCCTGAATTTGGACTTTTAGCCTACTTTTTACTGTGATGAAAAAAATTTCTGTTTGTTAAAGCTATCCACTTGCGGTATTTCTGTTACAGCAGCACTAGATGACTAAGACGGCCACTGTAAGTTGGTTCTGACCAGTGGACCCAGCTTCATTTCTTGCTACCCTCCTCATCTCTACACATTCTCTATGCTTTAGCACTCAGGACTGCCTTCCATTTCCTGAACGGCACACAATTCATTCTGTTTCGGGCCTTTATATGTGAATACTGTTTTCTCCATCTAGAATTCCCTTTCTTTACTCCCCTTCAAGGCCCAGGTCAACTCCCCCAACTGACTTAGCTGTCCCTTCTTGGCACACACCTCTACAGTAGTCCTTGTCTTACCATTCTGTGCTGAATTAGTCATTGGTCTGTCTACAATCTAGACAGTGTAGCCAATCAGTTGTGTGTACTGGGTACACATCAGGAACTCAGTAATGCTTACTGCTGTGAATAAAAACTCAATAAACATGCTGACTTAGCAAAACTGCAACGCAAAAATATACTTCAAGAGTATGCATGAAAACATTAACAGTGGTTTTCTTTGGATGGTAGAGTTTGCTTCTCAACATCACCTGTCTAAAGTGACTTCATCACTCAGCTGTAGGACTGAGCATGCAAAGCCAAGTCGGACATGTTCTCAGACCCAGCTTTAAAAGAATTCAGGAGTGCACTCATCAGATGCTTCTTCTGTTCGGGAAGAACTGAATGTAAGTAGGTTTGGGGTTTTGCAGGACAAATATGGAAAACGGAGAAAGCAGCAAAGGAACTGAGGGTGTATACAAGAACTGATTATGATGATGAACTGTAGAATTAGAGCTGGAGGAGGGAAGCCAGGACGTGAGGGACGTGATGCTCCGTTAAAAGTTGGCTGGATCGATAAGTTGTTAAGTTCCAGAGCTGGGCAGAGGCAAGTGTTAACGGACTGTTGGGGTTCGGATACTAGAGGTGAACTGGCGAGACCGGAGGTGTGGTCGGAGGATGAGATTGGGAGTATGAGCATGCAGTGACCGGGAAGCCATGGAAAGATCTGGCCAGAAGCATTCCAAGCAGAAGGAATAGCAACGACAAAGGCCTAAAGGAACAAAAGGAAGGCCGGTATAATTGGGGGGAGGGGGGGTACTGCGTTGGGGTCTAATGAGGGGAGAGGCACGATCAGATTTAAGTTGTAAAAGAGGCCCTTTGGCTGCAACGTGGAGAATGGACCTAGAGGAAGAGAAGGAAGGTGAGACGCTGGAGGCCAGTAGGGCGCCGATGAGCTTCCAGATACATTTTGTGATAGAATCGATGGGACTTGTTGATGGGGCGTACTGGTGGGCGAGGGAGGGAGGAATCAAGAATGTTTCGCTCAGTAATGAACTCCCCAGCACTGGAGCGAACGTTGTAGGGGAGACAGGGTGACTTCTGTCCGAATGTGGCCAACCCTGGGATAGAGGATTCTGTAGAACACAAAAAATCCGGGTTTCTCGAACTGAAAACCACTTCCTCTCGGGCTGCTACCTTGCCCCAATCTCAGGCTACATCCCAAAACTGCCCCCAGGCCCTTACCCCTTTACTCCTGGTCCCCCGGGGGGCCAAAGCGCAGGACAGGCGAGTATCTACTTACAAACTGGCTCTTCTGGCTTCTCCGAAATCCCTGGAGCATCCTTGCAGCTGGGGAAGACCAGACCAGGGGCCGCACTCACACTCTCGCCGGAGCCTGGGACCACTCCCTAAACCTGGCTCCGCTCACTCCGGCCTAGCCCGGGACGCTTTTTCTTCGCCACGGACTTCGCAACAGCCATGTCTGCCATTGGCTCTGTTTTCTCCTTGGCCAATCAAAGCCAAGCTTACTGCCATGCCCGTCACTCTTGGCAACCAGCGGGTCGCATTCAAATCTTCACCAATGAGGAAAGAGTCCGCGCTGCTCGTTCTTTTACTGGTCACTTCAGATGTCCATCTCTAACTCCATAGCCAATCCGGCGCTCTGGGAGGCGGAGAGCGGGGAAGATGGAGACCTGAGCAGACTTGGTCACAGGTAACTCGGCTGGAAGCAGTTTGTGGGGGCCTAGGCAGCGTCCCGGCTGTTTCGGCCCGTGCCCTAGTCTAGACTGAGGAGCCACAGCGCAGACCGAGCTGGGGTGTCAGGGGCCGGGCAGATGACTAATATGCGGGACACGGCCACTTGGAGAGGAATCTCCTGATTCTTAGCCTTTGGTCGTCTCTTTAAAACACTCCAGACGGGATCTTGCCAAAGAGGCCCCGGTTTCCAGTCCAGTGTGGGGCCGTGTGCACGAGAGCCTGCTCCAGTGCAATCTTGCATTTCTCTCATTAAATCCAGACCACCGATGGAAAGGACTCCCTCTGATGACACAGGCCCCATACACGTGCCTTTTGGGTACGTTGTGGCCAGTGAGAAATGGCGTGGGTCGCAGCTGGCGCAGGGGATGCAAGGTCAGTGGGCTGCCCTCTGCATAATCTTGCTCCCCCCCCCCCCCCGCTTTTTAACATGTCTGACACTTTTCCTCTAAAGCTCGTGAAAGTCATTTTCTTGTCTGTATTTTAAGGGAAAATTAAGCTTATTTTTGAGGATCGCCTGACACCGGTAGATTTTTACTTGTCTCACCGATCCTGTATTCTTTATATCACCGAAGCTGATTTGGTGGCAGGAAATGGCTACAGAAAGAGGCTTGTTCGGGTTAGAAATGTAAGTAGTGAATTAAACAAAATAGAAATGAAAGTTTACTTGTATCTCGCCCTTTCCCCATCCCTTGGAATAATTTATATAAAACATTGACTATTCCAAACACTCTGCCTCCTCTTTTTCCTGAAATCAAGGAGTGATGTCTTTCTTCATCTTCACAGGAATTTTGTTACAAAATGGTTTATTGTCTAATTTTTCTTCTTTGAAGTCTAGTAATCTTCAAGCGATTGTATTAGTTGAAAAGACACAGATGATTGAACAATACTTCCCAGCTGTGCAGAAGTTTACTGTGCTGGACCTTGGGATGGTGTTGCTTCCAGTGGCCAGCCAGATGGAAGCCTCCTGCCTCATTATCCAGTTAGTAAGTACTGACTCCTCCACAAAGCCCTGGCAGCTTACTGCTTCCAGCTGACCTTACTATAGGCACCAGCCATCAGTCCAATCTATATCATTCCATATGTTGGTTTATAAAACCTTTTTGCGAAATTTAACTTCAGAAGCTGTCTTGCAGCCAGCTGAGCCTGCAGCCCATTTTAGGCACATGTATAACAAAGGGAAGCAGTTGGAAACTGATTTTAGACTCCCAGGCTGTGGTGACTCTGTCATTCATTCTGCACTTACACCAGTGAAAATGTCAGCTAGCAGGTGCTCTGCCTCATCCCCACGTATCTTTTGTTAAGCGTCAGGACGCTTCCATGTGGAAGTTTATAATTTTTTTTTTTTTTTAAACTGGTTCTCATTATCCTCACTGATTTTTCAGCTTGGCTGCAGAATCTTCTGGGAAACATTGTCAGTGATGTCTAGGACTTATTTCAGACCTGTCAATCAGAACGTGGGGGTAGGGCCTGAGCTTCAATTTTTTGTTATTATTAATTTTTTTTTTTTACATTTTTTAAAAACTGTGCTTTAGGTGAAAGTTTACAGCTCAAGTTAATTTCTCATTCAAAAATTTATACCCATATTGTTTTGTCACATTGGTTGCAATCCCCACAATGAGACAGCACGATCCCCCTTTCCACCTCGGGTTCCCAGTGTCCATTCGTCCGGTTGCTGTCCCTTCCTGCCTTCTCATCTTGCTTTTGGACAGGAGTTGCCCATTTGGTCTCATATTCTTGATTGAACTAAGAAGCACCTTCCTCATGTGTGTTATTTTTTGTTTTATAGGCCTGTCTAATCTTTGTCTGAAAAGTGTGCTTCAGGAATGGTTTCAGTTCTGGTTTAGCAGAGTGTCCAGGTGCCATAGTTTCGGGGGTTCCTCCCATCTGTCAGACCAGTAAGTCTGGTCTTTTTTCTCCCACTCTGTCTGGGACTGTCTGTTGTGATCCCTGTCAGAGCAGTCGTCGGTGGCACCATCTAGTTCTTCTGGTCTCAGGCTAGTGGAGTCTCTGGTTCACGTGGTCCTTCCGTCCTTTGGGCTAATATTTTCCTTGTGTCTTTGGTTTTCTTCATTCTCCTTTGCTCCAGATGGAATGGGACCAACAGATGTATCTTAGATGACTGTTCTCAAGCTTTTAAGACCTCAGACGCTACTCACCAAAGTGGGATGTAGAACGTTTTCTTTATGAGCTATGTTATGCCAGTTGACCTAGATGTTGCCTGACACTGGTCCCCAGCCCCCTTTTGTTGTGACTCTGATGTGCAGCTAGGGTTGAGAACCAAGTTAGAAATGCAAACAGCCCCCTATTGTCACAGATCCCTCTCCCTTGCCCCCTCTACACCCCTTGCTTCACTATCCCTAACTTCTTTGATAAAATGCTTCTTTGTATAACCACCACTAACTGAAAACTAGATTTCTCCTTTGATCAGCAGACTTCCTCCAGGTCTCGTATCAAGCCGACTCAGTCTAGATATGGCCATCATTTAATCCTACACAATTGAAAAGTTTCTTTATGAACCATAGGAAAGTGCTTGGATTCCTCAGAGTATGTTTTCCATTAATTTTGTCCTAAGCATTCTGAAAATTGAAGTTTTTGTAACTTATTCATTTTTAATCTCTCTTTTGTATGGTCATATGGTTCAACTTGCAGTAACTTTGCTGGTGTCTGAAAAATTATATTCATGGTAGATGAAGTCATGAAAAGTAAGACACTTGCGTTTGCAGCTGTAACTCACACTGAACCAATAGAAAAGCTAAATTTCCACCAAACAAATTTTAAGAAGACAGCCCATCCTCTAGAGGGCGCTCATGTGCTTTTCCCTCTTTAATTTCTGGTTCAGGTCCAAGAACAAACCAAAGAGCCCAGTAAGAACCCTTTTGTCAGGAAGAAATGCGCTCTGCTCTCTGAGCCATCCCTCCTTCGAACTGTGCAGCAGATCCCAGGAGTTGGAAAAGTTAAAGCTCCCCTTCTGCTTCAGAAATTCCCAAGTATCCAACAACTGAGTAACGCATCCATCCAAGAACTAGAGCAAGTCGTTGGACGAGCAGTAGCCCAGCAAATTCACGCATTTTTCACAGAGTCCAGGTGACCGCTCGCCTTGTGGCATCTACAACATTTTCTCCTTCAGACCAGAAATGACATAATTTTGTATTTAAAAGCCAAGAAAAAGTATTTCCTCTCACACTGAAACATGAGGTGCGGCCTAAAACGGGGCCTCACTCTCTGAGTTCAGGCCTTTCAATTAGTGGGTACCAGATGGCACTGCCCTCATTCTCCTAGGATGAAAAGGGCCTTTGGGGATCTTCCTAAGAGTCAGTTTCATTTAGGGACTCTCATACTCAGCAGAAAACCGGTTTGGGCAGATTTTAATGTGTGACCTTAACCTACGTCCATCATGGAAAGGTCTTCTAAAGCTTCAGGTGGTGGATATGAACATCTAAAGAAAACAAACCTACAATTAAGCACTGTGTATCATAAACCCCTAGATCCTGGTGTCAGTGCTGCTGTTGTTCAGGTCTGGTCTAAATATACCTGTGCTTTGAGGCTGCCAATGTAAATAAACAATTATACTGCCTTTCTTTCTCTTTTTTTTTGGTAGCTGTACAGTGTTTATAATCACTAGGCAGGTCTTGTGAACACCCAGTTCTTTGAGAGAAAACCTGGTGTGTGAAGTACCCATTTAAAGATAAACTAATGCATGAGAGAGGAAAAGAACGTGTTTGTAAAATGTACGGCCCAACAAAGGCAGGGTATGCAAAAAAATAGTAGGAGCAGCTGCATCCAGTGAGGGGAGCTGGGGGCTGGGGACCAAAGGGTAAAATTGTCCATCCAAAGGATAAATACAATTTAAAGATCTCATGTTTTAAAAGGTACTAAGATAACTTGAAGCCTTTAAGTTCTGCTTTAAACTCAAACAATAGAAATATTTTGGGCCTTAGGATAGAAATCATTTGAAAGAAGGAATTAAGATGAAATAAAAGTAAAAAACATGAACTCAGCAAAAAGGGGGAAACAACCTAAGTGCCTGTCAACGGATGAATGGATAAACAAAATGTACATACATACAATGGAATACTATGCAGCCATAAAGAATGATGAATCCTTGAAACATAACGTGGGTGAATCTGGAGGACGTTATGTTGAGTGAAGTAAGTCAATCATAAAAGCACAAAGGTTTTATGATCTCACTTTTTATTAGAAGAATAAGTGTACATACAGAGACCAACATTCTTTGGTGGTTACCAGGGATTGGTGGTGGAGAGAGGATTCACTCTCTGGATAGACCCCAAAAACCAAACCCGCTACCATCGAGTCAGTTCCAACTCATAGTGACCCTATAGGACAGAGTAGAACTGCCCCATAGAGTTTCCAAGGGGCACCCGGTGGATTCGAATTGCCGACCTTTTGGTTAGCAGCCTAACTCTTAACCACCACACCATCAGGTTTCCCTCTGGATAGCAGATGCTTGTTATTTTTGATGATGGGAAATGTAACACCAAATGTGGGTGAAATGTGCACAGCTAGACCAAGGTAAACGATGTCACTAAGATGTACACCAAAAGGGCCTTTTTTGGTAATTGCTATGGTATATATAATTCCGCAACAACCAAAAGTATGTATGTGCAGGTATATATGTATGCATATATGTGTATAGGTATGAATGTGTATAGAGGTGTGTGCATATGTATACATATATTCACATACATAATAAACCACATAGGGGACACACAGATAGTTCTTAGACATAACTAAACACCTCGCAGGATTGGCTTTCTGGGTTTAAAGGCTTAGCACCAGTCTTGTGGGACAACTCGATCAGTTGGCATAATATAGTTCATAAGGGTTATGTTCTATACCCGAGTTTGGTGAGTAGTGTCTGGGGTCTTAAAAGCTTACGAGCTTTTAAATAATGTCACTAAAAAGTACGCAAGAAAGAAGGACCTGTTGGTAATTGCTATGACGTATATAATTTTGAAACAGCAAAAACAACCAAAGAACATATGTGCGGATGTATATGTAGGCATATATGTGTATGCTGTTGTTAGGGATACTTCTTAGACATAACCAAACACCTTGCAGGATTGGATTTCTGGGTTTGAAGGATTAGGACCATAGTCTCGTGAGACATCTCTGTTAATTGGCTTAATATATTTCATAAAGTTATGTTCTACATCCTAGTTTGGTGAGTAGTGTCTGAGGTCTTAAAAGCTTGCGAGTGGCTATCTAAGATAAAACTATTGGTCTCTACTCATCTGGAACAAAAAAGAAAGAAGGAATCCAAAGACTCGGAGAGGAAACTAGTCTACAGGACTAATAGGCTACACGAACCATCGCCTCATCTACCCTGAGACCAAAAGAACTAGATGGTGCCTGACTACCACTACCAACCATTCTGATCGGGCCACAGTCGATGCACCCTGATAGAATGGGAGGAAAATGTAGAACAGAAGTCTTAAAAAATTCAGACTCACTGGACCAGTTGAGACTGGACGACTCCCCAGTACTATTGCCCTGAGATACTTTAAACCTTGAATCAAAAGTATCCCCTGAGGTCACCTTTTAGCTAAATAACAGATTGGCTCACAAAATAAAGACTATCACCCACGAGTACTTTGCTTCTTTGAAAAGTCTTCAATATGAGACCAAACAGTCAACAATTACTTTAAAAACAAAGATAAGAACATAAGGGCAGGGAAACTAGGTTACTGGAAACAGAACCACCAGAACGGAAATAAAGAGAATGCTCACGCATTGTGAAGAATGTAACCAACGTCACCGAACAATTTGAGTAGGAATTGTTGAATGGGAACCTAATCTGTTGTGTAAACTTTCACCAAAAACACAAAAAAAATTATTTAAAAAATAAACAAAAACATTAACTCGGCATAGATGAATGTGTTTATTTAAATATTTATACAGACATGGCCCTAGGAGCAGTGAATAAACTTTCCTAAAGGTGGCTGCTTCCCTTTCGATATTGCACAATAGAAAATATTTAAATTCTTGTTAATTTACAAAAATTAGATTTCAATGCTATATTTTTTAGCTATATACTTGTACTATGTCAACAGTGAGTCTTACTAGAATCACGGCATCATCCAACGTATAGCAAGAGAAATCGATTGGCAGAATGTCATATTTTAAAAGTCAAACAGCTTTGAACTTCAGTCATTTACATCTGTACCTGAAAAAATGTGAAGCTACTTTTTAACCCAAGACTCTTAAAATAATACAACTATGTACTTTCTACTTTAAACAAAATGAAAAATGTTTTGAGTATCAAACAGTATATTATCTACCTTGTAGACAGCATCTTCATCTAACACTGCCACGGTGTTAGCAGTTTTTAAATGACATGAAACTAGAATAAAAGCTGCTCCTAAATTGTTTTCATTTAATAAGTCATGGCAAATTTGGCACTAGACTTTCTGTGGAAGTAGCATTCGTATTATGTGGAAATAATAGTAAAATTTTGTCATTTTAGATTAATGAGGACACATTAGGAAGCAGCTCTGTGGAACACATTTTTAGTAACACTAATTTAAGACTGTCACTGTAGTTCCCTGACCTGCCTTAATTCACGGGTTGTCTGAATTCTAGGTTAAAGAAAGATCTCTTATAACCCAAGCCTGGAAGCTTACAAATAGGGCTAATGTAGGTAATCCAGATCCAACTCTGAAGGTGACTGAAAGTCATAATCATTAAATAGGGATATTTTCAACACTATTTACAATACTTGATACAATAAATAACTTGCAGCAGTATCAAAAAACCAAACCCATTGCTGTTGAGTCAATTCCGACTCATAGCAACCTTACAGGACAGAGTAGAACTGCCTCGTAGGGTTTCCAAGGCTGTAATCTTT